AGGTCTTTTTAAAAACTCCTTTCAGGATTATTTTATGGTGATTTTTCATCATAAAATTTTTCATACCTTCTTAGATAATACCAAATTACAAATCCATAAAAAATCAAGACTTTGTGGGAGATGTAAACACTTTTATAGAGGTTGCTCACCTGCGACTGGACACGCATTACCTGTGCCTCTTTACTGTCTTTTTCGATTGACTTTCGTCAGCGGGAAAATTATGCAAATAGGAAAAGTGTCAAACGCATTGTGCCGGGCGGCTGTCAAATAAATCAAAGATTGTAACCTGTTTTTCCGACCAAGTTCAGCAGGCCCAGGGCAACACCGATGGAGGCGCCTGGAAATGTGCAATTAATCAAAAGTTCAGTAAACGCTTTTAATGGGAGTCGGGCATGCCAGTTGTCTCAGTGAAGAGTCCACGCCAATCAAGATGCATATTTTTGCATGTTCGCAATTACACAACACGTCCACGTGAGCTGCTGGTGGAGGAGACGCCCAGACTCGCCACAGACGACATCCAGAGCAATGAACTTGGACTGCGGAGAAGATCGCCTCGCTTGACTTACCACGGATTCGCCGGATGGGAATGGTAAGGAGGTGGAATCTCTGGGAGGAGTCAGAACACTTGTCAAAAAACTCTATTTCTTAACTTCCAGAGACAATTATAAGGTTAGCTCTTAATTAAACTTAAGTACATTTTGTTAGATATTAGATCAAAAATGTATATTTAAAGATATATTAAAAGCAATAATGTTCGTTCTCAAAAAATAAAACATCTTTTAGAAAATAATAACTATGATGTGTTTCAATACCACCCGCAGCTTGGTTATTCTATGGTAAGTATTTTGAATTCTCTTTGATTTATATTTTAGCAAATATTTTAGGAATGTCTTTTTGCAGTGCAACATAAGCAAACACATCCAGAAAACATGTTTATGAGATGGGGCTCTGGTGGCCCTGAATGCCACATGTGTATGTTGCGCCTGTTTCTGGCCGATCTTGCCACATGAGCTGGCCACATGAGAGGATGAGCTGCTAACAGCGGGGAGCACATTTCGTTTAGTTTTGCAATTGAGTTCCTTCTTCCCCAACAGGTTTGGCTTTTCCAGCTCTTTGATCTGCACACCTTCTTTGCTCCTGCTTCTCCTCTGGCGACTTTTGATCTTTTGCTGGAGAGAAGGTGGGATGGAGGTGGAGATGGAGCTGGAGTAGGAGATGCGGCTATTAGAGCCGCAGTCACTCAGGTGTGGTTACTAAATAAACCTTGCAAGAGAAGCCCGACTATTGCAGGGGAGAGGAATGGGGAAGACAGACAGTCGGAAGACAGAGCCTAGCCCATTATTAATATCGTTGAGAATTTGATTTAACACTTAAAGGCTTTAAATAAATTGCTGTCAAGTCAGGGAGTTAATAAGATATTAGGCGGAGGTATTCAGGGAGAAAATAATGCTACATAAATCAACAGCAATTTTGTATTATTTAAATTGATTCAAATTTTAGTCAGTAGAATTTCCAAATAAAAATAATCCCATTTAGTTTAACTCTCATGTCTCTCCCACTAATCCAGTTCAGTAATCAAAATGGCAAAACCAATCCCCACAAAATTGGCAGTCAATAAAAAAAAAACTGTCAAACATTGATGAAAAATGCGGATTAAAATTGTAACCAATTCAAATTAAATTGGCAATTTATGCTTACTTTCATAGGTCAGTTTTCTACATCTATTTTGGCCAGCAACAAATCCAAAAAAAAGGGTCAACTTATGTGTGGATTTTGGTTTTATTTACCCACAGGAATCCCCAAATCCCCTAGCCGGACCAGAACTAGGACAGTAACTATGGAAATGCGAGCAAGTTTAAGTCCGCAAAGCCAAACACGATGTGTTGATGGGTTGATGTGCAGGGCCCTGAATAAATATGTGTGCCCCGGAGATGCCCAAAAGGTTGTGTGGAATGGCAAAAGAAAAGCGAGTGTAAGGGAAGGTCACAAGTGCCTTTGGTGTCACTCACCAAATTGTTTACAAATATAGAACACGCGTTGAAAAGCTGACGAAGAAATGGATCTGGGACCTGTGGCAACGCCTTACCTTGGTGCGAGCCTTCATCTACTTTTTCTTTTGCAACTTAATGCTTCTCCTCCTCTTTTTTTTTGAGGACAAAAGATCCAGCAGCAGCATCATAGTCATCATCATCATCATCTGCTGGGCGCCTGACTGGCATCTGAGATGATTTTAATGCTGTTGACTGTGGGCTTGCATTGGCATTTCTGTCAACTTCCATCGCCCAACATCACCCATCACCCTCGCAGTTTGTCGAGATTTGTTAAAGCCACAAGCTTCCGCTTATTGTTTGTTGGTAACAATTAAGCCGCACTTTTGCTTCAGTCAACTAAAATAATCAAAATGTTTGTGGCCTCTCCCAACCGGGCACCCACAATCGCGTACAGATGTAGGAACTTGTACACAGAACAAAAGTGTATTATGGTAAATAAAGTACAACTTATTTTAAGATGCCTTTGAAATATATATTCCTACGTTTATTACTTCTTTAATAAAGTAATTTTTAAGAAAATAGAAATTAGCACAACTAAAAAAGGAGCAACGGTTGAAAAGAACATATTGCTTGAGCTCAAAACCATTATTAACCATTAGTTTTTAATGTAATTATAATATTTATAGTACATTTTTATACGTTTATTATTTATTATTTTATTCTATTTATTATTTATGCTATACTTTTCTCAATGTGCATATTTGTATGTTTGTGTGTGGGGGTTAAAACCTCTATGTCGAAACCGAAAGCAAATGCAATTTTTGAATTTTTCCAAAGAGTTGAGAGTTGAATCAGGGAATGGCTTTGTCCATGATTTTGCATGTTTTGGCAGGGATCAGTTCTCTGTTAGATTTGGGGAAATGGGGATTGCTTTGCCATTAGCCCCGGCTGCTCCTCTGGCGGACAATGGGAAACTGCACCAGGGAGCAGGGAGCAGGGAGCTGAGGGCAGACTTTGGTCCCATCAAAAATGCAGGCAAAGTATTGGCCATTACACATACACACTCGCAACCACATCATATGGCTATGCAACAACGTTGAATACCAAAAACTGCATTTTTCGGAGCTTAGCAAGTTTTTGATTAAAACTCTTTTGTGTGCATTTGAGGGAACAAAGATTGGTTATAAGTTGAAAGTGGCTAAAAATGAACTCGGCTAACAAGCAAAGTCGATTAAATTTCCAAGTGCCGAGAGTTAATAGAGTTCATTTATGATTTCGGTAGGAAATTGGAAACCGACAGTGAGTTTATTAGTTCTTTTTATACATATAAATTTTATAGATTCCAAAATTCTTTAACCATCTTAATAATCAGTGAAAATATATAAAAAGGCAAGTTCTAATTTTTAACTTGAGTAACTTGCAAACGGAGAGTGGGAGAAAGTAATACGTTTTAATAAATTTATTAAGCTGTGTTATTTAATTCTCTAATAACATTTTTCTGCATCCATCGAATTTTTTACTATATTTTTCCAAGAGAAGATTCCCTTGGCAACTTACAAGCAAATATAACTGTCTGGGAAATGACCCATAAAGCAAACTTCTTGATCCAGAGACATTGCTCCCCCTGGAGTCCATTTTGCTCCAGGGCTTAACCCATTTCTCCCGGCTCTTGTTGCAAATTCCGCGGCATTGTTTGCACTTAATCAAGGTCGCTGCCAGTTAATTAGACTTTCTGCTGTGGGAATTCAAGTACTACGCTGAAACAATTGCGTTTTGCATTGCATCAGCGAGATGGATGGCTGGCAGTGAGTGAGTGTTGGCCAAGTCAACATATAACTGCACATTATTCAACGGCGACAAACAAAAATTGTAGGTTTTAATTGTCGGACATGAAATAATAAATGCGCAGCATAATAGCATTAATAAAACAATAAAATGAGAGGCGACCATTAAATGCAAGCCAGGCCGCAGAAAGAGATTGTGTCCACTCCTGACTGCCACTCGATGTGTCTTAATTAGCATAAATGTGCATCGCATCGCATCGCAGAGCGTCGAGTGGTAGTTGGGTTGGTTGTGCAACTCTGGCCAAAAGAGGAGCTCTCAGAGTGGGCCAAAACGAGAGATGCCGGTGTCACACATACGATAGAGGTGGAGAAACATCGATGTTTTAAAAATATTCGAATTTTCTTAATTCAATAACTAACAATATTTACATAAGATAATTTATAAAGTATTTATGAATTCGATTTAAAGAATGCAAATATTTAAGGATTAGTTATGATAGATTTCCGATACGATCCTATAATTTAAATCTAAACTGCGAGGATATATAAACTTCGGATACCCAAAGTTATTTACCTTTCTCGTTAAATGATATTTTTGAGAAATCGAAGTGGAATCCGGGGTTCACCTCTAGCTTACAAATATTTTACACAAGCCATCGGTCAATCAGAATCAGAGCTCCCGTTTCGGTCCAGCTCTCTTGATATATCTGTATATATCCCCTCCTATTGGCATTATCATCCGGGCTCATTTCTCCCCACTCGTAATGGCTTTAATTGTTATTGTAATTGGTAGTGCACTCAATGGTAAATAATTAAGTCATGGGGGTAAAATGATTGAGGTTTGATATGCTGCTAGATTATGTCATTGAATGTGCAAGAGGTTACAAGAGGGAGACGATAATGAATGAAGCATTTTATATCAATATACGATTCTTCAGTCAATTAATTAAATGATTTGCACTGTCGAAATGAATGGGGAGAATTCAAAGATGTAAAAGATTCGTTACATGGAAGCTCTTTCTAGTTTTAGCACACATTAAATTGTTTATTTTCCATATCTCTCCATCTCTGGCAATTTTCGTTATCAGATTAATTAAGTAATAAATGCGTTAAACAAACATAAAAAATGGTAATAAATTTAAAATTGGATTATATTTTTTAATCCGTACAAAATCAAATTAAAACATACCATTTTGTTTGTTTTCTCTCAGCTTTTATTCGTTTTTCTCGTGCTCTTTTTTTGCACAGGCAAATATATATATGAAGTTCAGAGATATACAGACAAATGGCTATGATGTAATGCTTAGAGCTACATATAATATATAGATATATGTGTAATATGTAGCATATAGATGCACGTATATAATATGATACATAGAGCTTTAAAAAAACACTTTGTTAATGGATTTTCATCTTTTTTTTTTATATTTTGTCTGGGCTTAGTCATAATCCGATAAGAAAACAAGCTTTTTAGGTATCAAAAAACATTTGCAGCGACTGCAAATGGGACATACATAGATTACTCGATAGATATCAGGACTATATATAGTATATATATATATCATTATGCATAAGAGTGTTATGTGTCTATGGGTGATATTAGAAATGGACTTACAAAAACTCTCGGACTTATTGATTATAATATATATGTATATGTATTGTAATAACTTGGAAAACTTCTTGTTTAATTTTCTATTTTTGTTTTAAAATTTTCTTTATCAAATTTGTTTTTGTTTCAGTTACCTTTTCTAAATTATAGACGCCTAAAATGTATCACAGATAAATGTGTCAACCGAGTGGGACACATTGGCATAACTTAGGCCTATAACAAAGGGATTTAGCTGGAGTTCCACAATAATCTCTAGAGATTTGAAGGTAGTTTGAAAGTAATGATTAAATGTAATGATATAAAAAGGAAACGTGTAATAAAACAATTTTATAAAAACAAGGAATCTTTTCCAATCTCAAAAAGTTCCAAATAATTGTATTGAGATTTGAAATAACCAAAAACTAAACAAATATCATTACATACTTCTCAATATATTTTAAATGCAAATCATAACCTATTTGTAGACTCATTTTATGAAATACCTTCAAACCTCTAAAGATATGTGTGACACCTTAATTCTACAACTAATCCTACAAACTATGGGTTTATAGCTGGATCTCTATAGGGTTTTTTGGGGGGTTTTGCAGATCTCAGTTCTGCCACCAAAGGGCGCTCGTGTTCCAGATCCACGCGCCCGACCCTACTCAACGATGCTGCTGGGGATTCGGTGGCCCAAAGGCCTGCATGCTGTAGTACCGCTCGCTGTCCTCCTTCACCACACTGGTCACATGGTGGAACTGGCACGGATGCGATATCTGCGACTTGGGCGGCAGTGGAGCCGGCTTCACGCGCTTCTGTTTCTTCTGCTTCCTGGTTCCGGGGACGGTCAAGGCTATGTTCTCCGGATCGCTGACCAGACGCTCCACATGCTGCCAGAGCTCGCGGGCCGCGTCCGTGGAATCGAAGCTGAAACCGATCATCTGCTGGTGATTGCTCGACAGGCACATGGTGTGGAACGAGGGACCCGCAATCCGGTAGTTCGAGAGGTTGTCAATGCGATCCGACCAGAGCGAGAAGCAGGAGCCCCTCTCGGCCAGCACAAGGGTCACTCTGGGTATGGCCCTGGCCCGGCAGTTGCCCTTGTCGTGTAGGATCACCGGAATGCCGGTGAAGACCAGTCGCCAGTCGCCATCCTTGCCAGTTCCCTCGTACAGATTCGCCAGGGCACCGCTCACATATATCTCAGTGCCCAGGCCCCCGAAGAAGCTCTCCACCTGACCCCTCTCGTAGTCCGACAGATTGGTGTTGCTCGTGGTATCCGTGCTAATGGTGTCCGCATCGATGTCCGAGGCATTGTACGAGAATGTGGTCCCATGGACACTGCTCCGCTGTGCCGAGGACTGGGAGTGGGCCGACCAGTCCGGGTGCAGAATCAACTCATCCCGCGGCTCCGAGGAGGAGCCGGTGCCCTCACTGGACTCCGATGGTGGCGCCGAATCGCTGACGGAGCCCAAGCGGCGACGTGTCTGTTGCAGTTGATGCGACATCTGCAACAAAAAATAAAGGGGAAAACGAGAAGCGTGAGTGCGAAATTAGATTTCTGTGGCAAAAGCTTTTCGGCTGCGGTTTCGCTTCGAGTGGAGTTAATGCAATTCTCCTTTGCCATCCGTCGGCACCTCGCCAAAGTTGCTAACCGAAAATAAAAACAATTCATACTCAAGGGTTGAATAATGGGACTTGGAAGATACCCTGTACTTTCAGTAATTTAAACAATAGAAAAAGCGTCTTCCCATAAATTACGTATACGTAATTTTTTAATAGCCAGATATTTTTGGCGATGCATTGGATAGAACTATTTCTCTTGATATAAGTATATCCCTAGCTGAAGTAATGTAATATTTCATAAATATGAACTCGTTCAGATCATAGTGTTTAATAGAGAAATATCATTATTTTTTTGGTATTAAATCAGTAAGTTCTTCCCTTAACCCTTTCGAAACTAACAATCTCCTCCCTCACATATATACCCTTTAATTTTCCAACTACAGGATACAACAATTCCCATTCCCAACACGCGCTTACTGTTTTCAGTTTTTGGCTTTTCCCTCTCTCACTCTCTAATTTGTTATTTACTTTGTTTCAGTTGCTGCCAAGTAAAAACAACCGACAAAAAATATATACTATACATATATACAAAAATTTCCATTGTGGTCGCTCTGCTGGAAATTAAATACAATCAATTTCCGCTCCAGAAACTGCAAATCGTCAACAAACAATAAAATGCGCATATTTATGTTCAACGAGCAATTTGCCAAAATTCATTTACTTAACCAATTCGGAAAATGTTTAAATAATCATTGATAATGCATGGGTAATTGCTCATGCAAATAATTGGTTAAATATATTTATATTTATGGAACTGCTTAAGGCTTGGGCTTCTATTTTGAGAGAATTAATTGCTCAGAAACAAGAAAATAAATATCATGTGTTTAGATAAGCTTTCTCTAATCTTTTAAGCATTTGTTAGGTAAGAGAATTAGGCAATAAATAAACTGGTATTTGGACAATATACGGAAGCACTTTAAAACTACTCAAATAGACCTGCTAATATTTTATTTAAAATTTAATTTGTCAACTTTAAAGCAGTGAGAATAAACACAAAATAAAACCAATTAGAAATTCCAGCACAAACACAAACTGTGATACATTCCCAGGCCCACGTGGATAAATCTCCATATCAAAGAACTCACGTCCCATGCAAATGCCTGACTCAAAATCCAGAAAAAAAAACATAAAGTTAAAAGTTTAACCAAAAACTACGTGTATTTACAGGCAAAACAAACTCATCGCAGGAGGACGAGGCAAAGCGCATAACTAATGGATATAGAGCGTTAAAATTTCGTTAGCTTCTCCAACTCAAATACCAGAAAAGTTAGTCGAGAGGCACGTGGACATTGGCACGTTTTAATTAGCGCCGCAAATTGCAGGTCACGGCGTAATTAAATTATTCAAACTGCTAATTTTTCCACACTGCCCCCGCCCGGGAGACGGAAAATCGATCTCTAAGTGCTAAAATGGAAAGTGCTTTAAAGTTGACAGCACACCGAATTTTGCCATAAATAATAATCAACAAATATTTGCTGGAGAAGCGTCCAAGAATTCTCCGAAAAGGACACCCAAAAGGAAGTTGCTGTGGAAATGTATCTCGCATCCGTTGTGGCAGACTTTCAGGCCAACACACAACTTCAGACGAGGCCAAGAACTTCCGTCAACAACTTTGTTTGTTTTGGGGCCAAGAATATTTTTTCGGGAGGGTGGACCAGGGGGAGGGGGGAAGAGAAATCTAGGCCGCTGCAACATTAACACGGTTATCTATAATTTACACGCACCGGGGGAAAATAAGGGGGGACTGGAGGAGGAGCTGAGGAGGCTCTCCTTAACAGCCGTGATTTCTGGCTGCCCGTTGCACATTTATTGTGCCATTACTTTTGTGGCCTGGTAGATGTCCCCTGCCCATCCCTATCTCCATCCCCATCCCCAATTCCTATCTTAACATCCGCATCCGTATCTGGATCCGCATCCCCAAAAGGCAGCCGAGCTTTCTCCCTTGAGTGTTTTTTTACGTGTCCTGCGTTGGCAGGCGAAAAAAAGTTGATACGAACAAGAGTGGCAGAAAGAATAGGATCTGTTTATGATTTTTTTAAAATTAAAATTATAATAATATCTCATTTATTTATGAAATTTAATAGGTTATATATTTGATCATATTGTGTTGTATCTAAATTGTTGAATATTAAAGAACTCTGTTCGTCTTAGGTAAAAAGCCTAATACACAAATGGTTTCTTTGAAAACATATAAAAAATATATAGTTTCTCAAATGTTTGTTTTGTTTTTTAATTAATTAATAATAATCCTATATCATAAGTCTTAATAACAATTAAATTTGCTAAAAAGTTTCTGCCAGCAAACTATATATAGAAATTTTCGGACCTTTAGCTATGAAAAAAGTCAAATTAAAATTTAAATAAAATCACTTAAGCATATATTTTATGACTCTTTAAAGCCAAATATATATAAATAAATAGAAATATGATTAGTTTATTGTATGATTTAGCTATGCTATTATTTTGACTTGTACTGTTTATATATCAACTTCTATATATCTCGCAGCAAAAGATTAATTGCCTCACTTCGCCTTTTGGGGCTCTGGGCTCCAGAAACTTGGCAAATATATTTAGTGCCGAGATTTATGTGGCTTCATTATGAGCCACCCCTGGAAGTGCCACCCCCCAAGGACCTCACACTCCTCAGGGGAACAGCAGCGGGACTCTATGTACATATACATATATTGAACGTTTTGGTCAAACAATTAAAAATGTTTTGCCTGTTGGGGCCACTTTTTATTGTCGTCATGGCAGCCGTCGGTGCCGCCGCCTGCCAAATGAATATTTAATGCCGCCTCTAATGTCCACCCCCACCTCAAAATGCACCCAAAATGGCCTTCGGGATATCGATCGAATAGGGAGAGCGAACAGCAAGTTCAATGTCAAGTTTGTCTCGTACCATGTGGCGTATACGTAATATTCGTTGTCCCCAAGTTGGTCGCTTATTTATGGCCTCGTCTTGTGTATTTTGAGCCAATAATCGAGAAAAATCAACAGAGGACAAAGTAGAGAAGCAGTCAAAGCCTTGCTTTTATTTATGGCAATTATATTTACCCATAAAAATTCGCCAATTAATTGGAATTTGTGGTGTGCTCGTGCATGTAGAGGTTTTAAATATTTATTTTGCAGCAAAGTGGGGAAAAAATCTGGTCTGGAAAGTTTATGAGAGGCTTACTATATAAAGTAATAAAATAAGATTCGATGGAAAATAAATGTTTGCCTAAAAAGGGATAAAATGCTACATAAAAATGTTGAAAATCAAATAAATTGATTTATTTACCTTCGAATGCTAAATTAAAACTTAACTGCTTTAATTATTTATTTGCCAATGTAGTCACACAAAAGTGTCGACATAACATTCTTAAAAATGGATGACCATAATAAATTCTAGCAAATGTGCAAATCATTTTAAATTGTTTAAAGACCTCACATTGAAATTCGTTGAAAGAACAAAAGTCCCAAAAATCATTTGCAGGTCAAGCGAAAACACGCTCCTTTTTTACCTTTTTTTTTTGAGAGCAACTGTCACAAATTTTCATTTTTCATTTTTCATTTTCCATTTTATTTGTGTCAGTTGACAAATGTTGTGAAATTGACAGCCACAAGAAATGAGACGAAACACGAAAACAAATTGTGGGAGGCGTAGAGGAGGTGTAGAAATTTAAAGGCTTTTGTTGCAAAAATGATTTAAAATATGGTTTCAAATATCGATATACAGGGACAGGAACTGACCCATACGGAAACTAGGTAAGCATTTAGCTTAGAATTAAAAAAAATGTATTACCTATTAGTTAAGGTTCTAAGTTTTGTTTATCAAGGAAGAACTTCAAGAGTTTTCAGGGCATAATTACACAGTGTAATTATTAAGATTTAATATCTTATTAAAGTTTTTGTATTTGTTTGTAACCTTTGTTTTATCTTCTTAAGAAAGATATACAAGTTAAATTATATATATTTGAATTTGAAGCCAAGTTAATTACCTTAAATAAATAATAATGTTTAAATAAAAGTAAGACCAACTAATATACATAAACTTATATTTATGGGTCTTAAGTATCGGAAAACATTTTGTACAGTGCCCCCCGAAAGAAGGTCGGAAAATGCCAAGCAAATTGCGCTTTGTACTTTTCCATGGGGCAGGTCAGTGTGAGAAAATGTGCTGGACATATCAAAGGGAGGGGGTTTGCGGGAAATCAAACAAATTGCCGGGCATGTACATTGCACAAACAATTGAAACCGTTAGCTTTGTGAGGGAGTTGTGGGCGTGGCAGCCGCTAACAATGCAGAGTTGGAAATAAAAAAACAGATACAGATACAGGTTGGGCTTGACTTCTGAGGCCTTTATGTTAATTTCTGATTCAGTTTATAGTTTCATTTTCCCTCCCCCTCAGATCTGCGCTTTATGGAAACGCACTCAAGTGCAACTCAGCGCGGCGAGAGGGGGGGGGGGGGGTGGGGTGAGGGACCGAACGTGCTGTGATTTAATTTTTCTTCTTTTTTTTCCTGTGACTCCAGTGGAAAGGGGAAAAATTCAATTAAAATTCACAAAAGCCTCTCGTCTCGCCTGACCTCTGATTTCTTGTACGTACATATATATTTTTTCTGCTTTTCCTTACTCGCGAGGACAAGCAATTATCGTGGCCGCACGTATGTGGATCAAAAACTGCTTCAAGTTAAATTGAATTTGTTATTAAAAAATAAGAAAAAAAAGGAGAAATAAAATGACTGAAATTTCATATGCAACGCAGAGATCCTTCAGCTCAATTTCAAATGCAGACTAACGCTTAACTTGATGCTGCCGCAAATCGCGAAATTCCATTTTCTCTCTCCACTAAACAGAGACACTAGGGATGGCAGAAAATCTCTAAATATTGTATATATA